TAGGGAAATCTTTGAAAATGTAAAGCCCAGCTTTACTGTTTTCCTGTTGATGCTGATATCTCTAGCAAAATACACACATGCAGACATGCATTTTTTGCTCTCATATGAATTATTAATTTAGTGCAAAAAATAAAGCTGGTGTACAGTTGACTATATAACAGAGTTTCTAGTTTTGCTAGTAAAAATGAAGCTCAACTGTAGTAAGTAGACATCTTATATCCCTGGTAGACTCTTCTGATCTGGTAATTCTAGTAATTAAAAAAAAACAACTTAAAAACTCAGGCAACAACGGCATTAGCTGATGTGTTGAGGATCTTTGATTTTTGTTCGTGTAGCTTTTTGGGAGTTCTTCCTACAGTCTTTTGGAGTAAAATGGGCGTGTGTCAGTTCTGTTTACAATGTAGTTTCATAGTTGATTGGGATGACAGATTAGAATTTGTACTGAACACTTGGAGAAATATCTTAAATATGTTAGTCTTGCTGTATCTGATTATGCATCAGTAAGATTAAAAGTATAATTCTTTACGTAGTATAATCTTTTCAGTGGCATAGTTATGATAAGTATCTTCCACAATCTCAGTTTTTAGTATAAACTGTCTAAGCAGCAGAGTAGTCCAACCCTTATGTTCCTGAGGTGACAATCTGAGATATGTATATAAATCCATTTTTTTCTTTGACAAAGCTACTTTTAAAAGCAAAGCTCCTGAAGCTGAATGCCTGGCTTCACTGAGGTTGATTAATACCTTCTGTTTTCATACAGTGAAATAGCTCCTCAGTAAAGAGAAAATGTTCAAAAACTACAAAGTTGCACTAATTTCAAGGGCAGATTTACTGGATATTTGTTTAAGAAGATATTCTTTTAAAATGAAAAATAAAAGTGCTGCTAGGGAACAACAGACTGGGAAAAAGGCATTTCTTTCTGAACAAGCTGTTTCTGTTGTTTTGTTGTAATTTTAGCAAGTAATGGTGGAAGGAATAGATGTTCTTATGTTTTGTGATATTGCATGAAAATAAAATGTGTGTGCTAAGGTCCCTAATTGACTTGTGGCTAGTGTGAAAACTGCTTGGTCATGTTGTGCAGCAAAGAAACAAGATTTATTAACAAAGGTACTCAAAATCAGAGCAAATTTTGTCAGTATGGCTAGTCATCTTGCCAGTGTCCAAACCTGGGTTGTATATGTTGCAGATGGTGTGTGTCATTGATGTCTGTGATGTCTAAGGGTCTTCTTTGCCAGTGATTGTTTATGTTCTGCAAATACTGATGGTTTGCAGAGGGAAATGATTTTGAAGTTACAATTTTATTTTTGTATCTTTTGCTTCAGAAAATGTATTCAAGTGCTTTTAGATACTTCAGTTTGAGGGGGGAAATACAAGTCCCCATGGATGTCTTCTGTGTTTTTTTTTCTAAAGTAGGGCACATCAGTATCAGTAAATTTTTAGTCAAGGAACTTTTACTTGATTGTCTCAGTACTGCATTTCTAAGCATCTGTCCAGTTTCGGATAAAAAAATCCCCACTTTTCATTTTTTGGCTTCTCACACAACCCTATGGTGGTGTTTTCCTTACTACAGTGCATGGTATTTGATATAATGCATATTTCAAATTAGAAAATATATTACTTTAATCTGATATGTCCACAGCTTATCTGTAGGGGATCTCTTGAGCTTCTTAGACTTTCTGTCATAGTGTTTGGAGTCAGCCTTGAGCATCTGGAGCTCTATGCGTCAGAAGGATATTACTGCTAGTTTTGACTTTGTGTTTGGCCCTGTTCTGTGCATGGGTGTGTCTATGTATGCAAGAACTTATAGGTTTTTTTCCCATAACAATATACATTGTTTTCACAAGGAAATATTAGACATAGAAAGCATTTGTCTAGATCCTGTTTCTTAAATATATCGGAAAATTCTTTCCTTTTAACAGAGTTACAAAAGAAGACTTTTGTAATTTTTGTAATAAAGTTCACAATATATTTTTCCTTCTAAAGGCTTTAAGGAAGCAAGATGCTAAAGCAGATGAAACAGAAGAACTCATGAAAAATAAACTTGTGAAATATGAAAGTGAAAAGAACCAAGTAAGATTTCATTTTCTCCTTTCTTGTTTCATTTTAAATAAGTGTATAGTGTCCTGTGTTACATACATGCTTCCTTTTGCAGAAAAAACAGCGGGATAAAACTTTCCCTGCTATTTAAGATAACAAGTTTGTTTTGGTTTGGTTTGGATTTTTTTGCTTCAGAGGCACTGGGAATATAGCTATTCTGAACTTCTGTCTTTTCTTCAAAGCTCTTAAGTTACACTGTGCTACTTCTAACAACTCTTCCATTGTACCAGGCGGACAGGTTTATAACTTGGATATTAACCTTGATTTCTTTCTCTGATTTGTCTCTGAATTTATACATAGTCTGCTCTTAGTTATTTGCAGCAGTTCAAAGAGGAAGCTCTTCTTCATCCCTGCAACTAATCAATGCTAGTTATTTTGCACCATGATTATTATTAATTACTCCTACTGAACTATCTGTTATCATACTGCTATATTATTGTTCATAGAAAATAAGATTTCTTACATTACTGTTCTTGCAGGATGCTAGAGCCATGTTACACATTTTCTAGCTTTTTCTTATTACATCAGTTTAGCTTTTTTGATAGTCCTTTCAAAGTTATATTCCTTTATTCTAAACCATCTATGTAGTTTTTTGTCTTATATTACTCTCTCCATTGCATTGATTCTGGTCCTGTTTACTTTGCTCATTTGCCAGCCTCTCAACATCCTCTTTGAGATTGCTATCGCTGCAGTAACAGTTTCTGCTGTCAAAAACTATATTTATTTCCATGTGGGTCTTCATGATCTTTGAACTATTTATGGTAGAAGTAAAAATATTTTGTAGCTTTTATTTTCTGGGGCTTTTTGTTTTGGTTTGTTTTTTTCTCAGTGGTCATCAGTTTGCTGACTATTTTTGAGTAAACATTTTTAATTTCCCCATATATTATATTTTTAGGAAAAATGATAATGGTAAGAAATTCTAGATGCATTGGTTTTCCAGTTGTCTTGTTTCCAGAATAATTCAAATACATCTTTTTGCACACAACATAAGAATCATTTACCAGTTCTACCTATTCATGTAATCTTTAAACATTAATAAACTACAGAAGAAAAGTGTCTTTAAATGTTGGGTCATTGTTAATTTTAAGTTTAATTTGAAGGTATGTTTCAATTGCAGGGACAAAGTTTTTAAAATTTCTTTAAAAAGTTTATCTTCCTCTCTTTTACTTTTAACTCAGTAAAAATTTGCTTTCATGCCTTTTTGGTGTGCTTGTTTGTTTGTTTTTATTATGTATACCCCTTTGTATCTTCATGTGATACAGAATAATGTACAAAAATTGTAGGCTGTAAGTTAAATTCTCTTTATGTAATTTAAATAAATATAGCAGGGATTTAGTACACATAAAAGTTTGCTTTCACTTTTTTGACAAATAAGAATATTGTATATATTATGTCTCATTTTAAATAGATGCTTATGTCGATTAATTTGTGCCAGAATTAAATAGTTAAAATATACTTTTGTACTAGCATTGCTTTTCTTTCTTCATCATCGTCTATAATGAAAGCTTGAGCAGGAATTGGAGCAGTCCCGGAAAAAGCTGAATGAGTCAGAAGGCAGTAGAGAAGCTCTGTTGCATCAGGTAACTGCTTTAGTGTGGTGAAAACCCTAAAGTTTTCATACTAGGTAGTGTCTGAGTCTTTTTTGTTGAGCCTTCCTGTCTCATACTCTGTTAACATTGCTTTTGGAAGGGAAGAAAGCTATACAGAAAGACAGGTCTAAGAATCTAAAATATACGGGCTGAACTCTCATTAGACTTTTTCTTTTATATTTCCCAAACTTTTAACTATATATGGTCATATTTAATAATTGTAGTAGTGGTAGTAGTAATGGTACCTTTTAAGTACATAATAAACACATTAGTTTTTACTGGCCTTCATAGTATGCTTTACAACAACTTCTGTATTAGCAATTATTGGTATGGAAAGCGTGTGCTATAATTCCTGAAATCAGATTAACAGATGACAAATATCTGCTCTACGGAATAGTAGCATGTGATAAAAACATATAAAAAACGAACACCTTTATCTAAACTATGCTGGAAACAGTACATATAGATGCACATATGATTGCATCTAGAAGTTGTAGGAACCTGGTTTACAGCTGTAGGAAAGTATCTTTTCTCCTGAACATTTCTAATCCTTCCTTCTTTCAGAGGAGCTGAGGAAAAGATTGAAATGAATAGGGGTTGGGGGGGAAATTGTCATACTACTCTGTTAGCATTAGTAGTTTGGCTTGTCTATTTAGCAGAAGATTGAATTGGCTGTATTACTGTTTTGAATTTAACTCACTGTGCATGGAATATAGTGCTGTATCACAAGCAGATAATACAAGTTAGCGCTATTTTCTTTCAATTCAATTTAGCATGTCATATTTTCTTTATTTTGCTGTACATAATGTCATCTTTGTAAGTGCCAGACTGTAAATGATAGAAAGGAAAAATGAAAAAAGACCTTACATTTCTTAAGAATAAATACTGTATAATTTTAATGAGTAGAAATTAAATAAAATATATTCCTTATTAAATTTGTATAGCTATTTTCACTAGCAATGTAAGAAGACAATTGCAACATATAAAATGGCAATATTTTGCTTGGTCTAGAGCAATTAATGCTCATCTGTGGTCAAAATAACCAAATGTGTGCCTTAATTTTGAATCATTATAATTAGGAAGTAATTTGGCCTATAATTAGGAAGTAATTTTTCTTTTTGCTTAGCATTTGCAATACTTTTGAGATTTATTTATGAATATTACTTCTGTATAGTGCGTTTGGGGTTTTGTTGTTTTTAATAAAAAGATGCTGTTTACTCTTCTGTTTTTCATTAAACATTTGATACTTGTACATGCTTTTTAGATTGAGGATCTTCGTTCCCAGCTTTTGAGAGCAGAAGAAGACCGTGTAGAGTTGCAACATCAAATTTCACATGCTGCTATGCACCACCAGAGCTACCAGGATCTACAGGATGATGACAGGAGAATTAGAACAGGTAGAACTCTCAAATTATGCACTGGAGGCCTGCAAATCAGTTAGTTAGCCTAGACATTAATTCTGTCATTAAGTTTCAGTCTAATTCTTCTACTATTTCAACAAAAACAGCCATTTAACTACTTAGCTTTAAGGTAAAAAGTACTGGCACCTGAATATTAACAAATAAATAGCAATGAGAGTTAAAATTTAGGAAAAAATACCATGATTTCCATGAAGATTTTTAGAGACAGTTTCTGTGAAGTGGATAGGGTTCTTACATTGAAACATGTGAAATACTTTTAAATAATAATTTATCTGTAATTTTACATTTCAATGCATTTGCAGTTTAAAATCTACCATATTGAAAATCATAGCAAAAATAATTTACATAGCTGATTAATGGTAAAAATTTCTGGTAGAATTTCTAAGGGACAACACCATGTTCAAGAGAGGTTAAGAGAATTTTCCAGTATGATGGATTTATGGTTTCTGTTAGCACTACGTTAGAATTTTAGAAATTGAACAATTATATTTAGAAGAAAATATTTTAAACAATTTCAAGATGTAATTGCATAATAAATTACCACCTTAGCAAAGTCTTCACTACATTATTAGTTATCTATCTGTGTTTAAACTTTTCAAACATAGTCAGAAAGGCATTGGGGAAAGTCTTTATCTGTTTCCTTATTAACATGGAAATGTATTACTCAAGATAATAGGGTATTGTGAACTCCATGTGTAGTATCTCTGTGAATGTTTAATTGGTTTGGTTCATGACTTCTTTTTATGTTTTCCTACTGCAGCTACTGAATCATCTTGGTTAATAAAGTAGGACCCTGACTCCCTGTTTTACGAATCTCATGCAGAGCACTAGAAAGGGCTAGATTTTGTACATGACGTGGCTTTAGAAATGTAACACAAAACAGTAATTGTAATAGTTTTTCTCCAATCATGTTAATATACCTGCTTAAAAGTGAATTTATTTGAAACACTATGCCTTCCATGTTAATGAATTTTTAATTTGTCTTTTATTTTACAATTTTAAGTCAAAACTGTGGAATTATGAAGAAAATGTAAAAAAAATATAGTTAAGCTATTAAGACATACACATATATTCATATAACTTATACTGTTGTGTTTTGCTTTACTGTATTATTTCTATTTTGTCAAAGATGTATGGGAAGAATACAAATGGAGATTTTCTTTGCCTTTTGTAGTTGTTTATGACCTAAGACCTTTGGCTGTCTAGTTGAGGAAATTTACAGCTTACCCTCATCAATAACTTTTTTTGTAGTTATAGATTCAGACATAAGATTGACTTCTAGTGTGACTTCCTGATCAGGAGGTATAAATCTAGTGGGATAAAATCTTGGGCTTGAAGTTTCTGGCCGTTTCATTTACACCTGGTTTCCTTCATAGTTTCTTATATCTTATTTTATTAGGTTTTGGTTTTGGTTTTTTTGGAGGGGGGTGCAAAATAAAAAAGGGAGGAAGGAAATGACTGTATGAAAAGAAATACTGTCTCGTTCAGTAAAAGGTTATGATATAGGTAAAGCCATTATTCACAGATACTTTGATAAAAATAATTATAAAATACTCTCAAATAGAGTCTAAAATTGCCAAAAAGGGAATGAGAAAAAATAATTTGCCACAAATTGGTGTTTCTGCTGTTTTATTCTCACTGTTTTATAGTAGCTGAAAGATATGAGAGAGAGAAGCAAGAACTAGAGAAACAAATTTTAGAGCTTACAGCAAAGCTGAATCATAATGCTGTAATGTCAGAAGTAGAAGAACTAAAGAGATGCATAGAACGTAAAGACAAGGAGAAAGCACAGCTTGTAATACGCATACAGGTAAGGTTTGGTGGGTTTGGGGTTTGTTTGTTTTTTTGTTTTAAATAATTTTCCATATGTTTAAGGTAGGTGATAAGCCAGATTAGTGAGTGACCTTTAAAAGAAGAGTAGCTGTCATGCTTTTTGTAGTTTATTCTATTAAATAACTTTAAAAGGTTGTCTGAGTTTACAGAAGTTTTTCTCTCCCATCTTGTTAATAAACCAGAAAGGTATTTGCTATTGCCCAAGAATTCATGATTTGGATTACTTCATTCCCAAGTCCAAAGAAAAGGTGATCTGATTTTAGTAGCAGTTACCTTTAATAATATTTTCTGGAATTACTTTTATAAATTGGTATTTATTTCTTTATTCCCCCTTCTGTCATGCTTCAGAACTATCCCACTAAGAACTAATTTAGAGGATAGGGCAAGCATAACTCATTTGCTGATGCCCATCAGCATTTGTGTTCTAGCTGGTCAATACAACTCCAGACTAACCTGAAAAATGATGCTTTTTGTTTTGTGGGGCCTGAGATATTCTGGTTACTTAAGTGGCAGGACTTAATGAGATTAAAACCTATAGAAAGTTCTGAAAGTAGAGTATGCTTTCTTTATGAGGGTCTAATACTTAATTTCCTGCCCTGTGAAAATACTGATAGGAGAGTGCTCATCCAGGGACATTGTCATTGCTCTGAGTTAGAACTCTTGACTTCCCTGATTATCTCAATAGAAAATACTTTGTACTTCTTATCTGCTTCCCACTGCTACTCTCCTACAGAGGCAGTAACAGGAAAATAGCTGTGCTTTTCTTTCAATAAGACATCAAGGAGTGTAAGGATGTGAATTTCTAAACTTATGTACTAACAAAGCATTTTATCAAGCCTGTTCTAACAGCTGCTCCTATCAGATAGTCTGAGTCCCAGTTGGAAGTGACCAGTCATGTTTGACCTGAATGTAATTTGTCTTTGGTTAGTGAGCAGGATGTAACTGCCTCTGATGTACGTGTGTTATTATTAATTTCTTCTGATTTATTTAAATGTCATTGTTTTTAAAAACTTGAGTTGTGTGTGTTGTACCTTTGGTCCCTGACAGTTTCTATAAACTCACAAAATGATGTAAAATGGAGAGGATGAAAAAGATTACAATCAAATTCCTAAACTCATGTTTAGAAGTGAGTTCAATCTTAATTTTTAAAAATAATTGAGAAAATTTTTATTTCCGTTGCTGTACATTACCTTGCTTCTGTAAGATCTTGCCAATGTATGCAGCTATGTTAAATGTATTTTTCTGCATGGAACTATATAGATATGGGATTGTTGTGGCTGCCTATTATGACCTGACTATTATGGATAGGAAATAAATAAAGTGCACAAATTACAAAGATGCAATACCCTAGATTCTCCATAATCGTTTTTAGTCTCTTATGGTGTAAAATTGTTTGATTTACTAATTACTTCTCATTCTAAGTAAAAGTAGCCCTACAGTATTGTGCAGTTAAACAGAACAATAGTCAGTTTGTTAAGGTATTTTGGATTTTCTGAGGGAAAGTTATTGATTTGTTTATTCAAGAGTAAAATTCTTCAGTAATATAATTTCAGTCTTATGAAGATTGATGAAGATCTTATCCTCATTACAATTAATTTTATGGCTTTTTCATCCTCTAAAGATGCAACTGTTAGTCAATTATTAATATTATATGAGCCAATTAAAATATCTGAAAATCAATAAGTAACAGAAAGAGCTATTCTTACAAAATGAGATAAATCAATAAATTTGAAGATGAGACCAGCCTTGATTGCCAATGAAGTTAAAATGCTGAAATAATGATACAGGTAGGTTTAAAATGTACAGATGCTACTCACTTTGATAAAGTTTCTATCTATAATCACATATCAACCCCAGGAGGAAAAAAAAAATAAATAAAAGGCTGTTTTATTTATATCTTGTATTTACCTGAACCATTACCTGTCAGAATGAGTAGCAGTCCAAGCTTTGGAAACATGGAGAAGGCATCATTTCAAGAAATTGATATTGTGCAATATACTTTTTACTGAGTGAATACACTTCTTGACTTATTGAATGTATGCATCTTCAGTTACTCAATTCACAGAATTTATGCTTATATGAAAAATCTAAACCTTCTGGATTAATAGTTCTTTATGGTTAGTTACAATATGATTGACAAGAGATGCAGATCAGATTGTGATGAATAACTTAATATTTGAGCTCTGCGTTCAGGAAAAATTAGAGAAATAATTAGGTGCATGATTTGGAAAGTGTATCAATGACAAGTAGTATGATTACATTGTGTTAGAATCTGGTGACTACACTGCTCAGATACAGGATAGAAAAAAGAGAGAAGGGAGAAAAATACATCCAGATCTACTTTAGGTGACTAGTGTAATTAGTGTGGTGAGGTGAAATGTGACTTTCTATTTTCTTACCAGTATAGAATTTTTGCACATAACTGTTACTGGGCATTATTTCGGTAAATTGAAGCAAATGAATGATCCTTGGTTGCATTTTAAATGATTGGATAAGTTTAAAGGAATGTTGTGCTGAACACATTAGGTGTTCTGTTTTCTCTACTTAGAATTAGTTTTGTTTTGCAGCTTGTGGTGTTTTCATTTTTAATTAGCTGAGATTCTGTGGCTTTGAGGAAAATGAGGACTAACAAATTGTAAACAATCAGTTATCCTTTTTTTGTTACAAAGTAGCCTACAAATTGAGATTGTGTGGTAGGATTTTCCAAGGAACCAAAAGGCAGGACTGTAATCTTTGTTTTTATAAACACTTAAGCTCTGTACACTTCTGACATTGAGGTTTGAGGTGTTCTCTTACAGATACTGAAGCAAAAAAAAAAAAAGTCTAATGAGTGGTGCTTGTGTATCCCTCTATTTTTGGGAAACCTATCTCTCTGTCAGTTGATGATAAATATGATTTCACAACAAATTTTTTACTTTCTTATTTTTATGACAGCACATGCCTGAAAAGTTGCTTACTTAATATTTTAAATACCAGTAGCACAAACCGTTATAGAACAGAAGAAATTTGGCAATTGCATACATTTTAACATACAGATACACATACTTTTATCATATAGAATCATAGAATGGTTAAGGTTGGAAGGGACGTTAAAGATTGTCAGGTTCCAACCTCTCCACTATGACCAGGGACACCTCCCACTAGGCCAGGCTGCATTGTAAATCAATAAATTGGAGATTCAGATTTACTTCTACACAGTGAAAGGAATCTTCACTATAAGGCTGGTGAGGAACTGGAATGGGTTGCCCAGGTAGGTTGTTGTTGCCTCATCCCTGGAGGTATTTAAGGCCAGGTTGGATGAGGTTTTGTGCAACCTGGTCTAGTAGTAGGGGGTTTCAAACTTGATCTTTAAGGTCCCTTCCAACCTTAATGGTTCTATGATTCTATGAATGCTTTCAATTTATTGAGCATTGTTTTCTGTGTTTAAGCTTAGACTCATATTTCATTAAAAAGTCTTTGGGAACTGTAGTTGTATTATTGAAACGTTTTCTCTAGGAGTATACATAAATAACTTTTTAATCATGTAGAGTTGAATAGTACATCAATTTAGCTTGACATCCTCTGTGGTGTCTCCAGAAAGACATGAAATGGGAAGTGATAACAGCATGTATAGTCACATGACTGAAGAAATGACCCATTTTAGACAATCTGTGAAAGGATAAATGGAATTGTTTCCATTATCAAGCTATTATATTAATTTATCAAGCTATTATCAAGCTATTTTTCAATAAACAAGTGAATTATCAAGCTGTTTTTTATTTCTGCTACATTTTGAATTTAAACCCTTATCTTTAAAGTGGTATTGTAATCTCTGTTTTAAGTTGAAATTGGGCTCATTTTGGTGAAATTTTATTGGTTTTTTTTTAATTGGTTGTTGTGTCTTATGAATCCTGACTTTTTACAAGGTTAGGCCCAGCTGTTTTGCCTGAGGAGCTTGAAAATGCATGTTTAAATAATGGCAAAGCAGAATACATGTGGGTTTTTTTCTAATGTATAGAACCGTAAACCTAGAAAGACTTCCCTGTTTTCGTTTTGCCCAACTCTTCCATAATGTGTTTACCTATTGTTTTTTATCTGTATCTTAGTTGTGTCTAGAGCAGAAATATCCTACAGGTGAGCAACAGATTGTCCATCAGATAATCCTAGTCCTGTTCTGCATCATGGGTACAAGTAGCAAGCTAGACTGATTGTTGTCTGTATTTGATTGTACTTGTCAGTCCATTCCTGTCTGTATTTTCTGGCAGCAACACAGTCTGTTATATGCCAAGAGTGCACATGCAGTCTTCTTTCCAGCACAGCAAATGCTATCCTGAAAAGACAGAGCCCAGAAGGAAAACCCAAACCTAACAACCACAAACCCAAGCCACCACCACCCACTCCCTCAGCCTTGTGGAATGACATGTGTCTGAATAGTCATTCTATGTGCATCTGTAAAGTTACTCATTCTTTCCTTGGCAAAGTTTTTTTTGCTTCTCCCTTCTGAATTGTATTATTTCAGACAATGTCTTCAGCTTGCTTTAGTTGTGCTGAAATCTAATCCTCTAAAGTATTTCCAGCCCTTGAATCTTGGTAATATCTCTGACTCACTGTAGAACAGACCTATTAAACTCATCAATGTAATGAATGAAAATACTGAATGGTATGAAAGCAGTCTAAGTGTGGAATACTCATGTGAAATGCTACACGATGATCTCAACAAAAATGAGTTTTGTTAGTGAAGCTTCAAGAATGAGTTCTGACTATGCCCTTTCAGAAAGTATATGGAGAATATTTTTCCTGGCTCACTTTTGAGACTGTTCTGAGAAATATCACCACATTCAAGATAAGAGGTGTTTGTTATTTTGAAGATGTGTAGTTTCAATTTCATTCAGTATTGAAAGGTCAGCTAATATTTGTTCTGATATGCTTCCTACTTCTTCGGTCGTCTTTGCACTTTGTTCTAGAGACATCTGCCAAGCTGCTGTTATTTTTCCGTATTCTTCAATGCTTTCCCAAATACCCTGATTTAGCAGGTTTCTTCCATAAATGCACCAACGTCAAACTGGGTAACAGCTAGCTCATATACTGTATATTGCTTTTGTTGTGTTGCGTGCTCATCTTTCCTTGACAATTTTGTATTTCCTCTCATCCGTTTATATTAATCTCCTTACCATTTGCTCTGTTCCATACTTGTCTAGTTTGAGGATCCTGGTCAATAATTCCTTCTCAGACTTAAAATAGAAATAAATACAAGAACAACCAGAAGAACAACAAATAGGTTAAAGTACCCATGTATTTTCTATCTTGTGTTGAAATTCTTTACCACTGCAGAGAGGGAGATTCTGTGGGCTAGCAGGGCTTTCCCTGGTAGTCAAGGAGATCTTTTCTGCTACTCATATTTTAGATAGATGTGATTTAATGTAGCTTTATGTTGTTTGATAAGGTTTCATAATTTATCTTTTTAAAGTTGGAATTTTCATATTTTGCCATGATGATTCCAGGTGTTAACATCTGACCTGGAAAATCGGGAGAAGCAGCAGGAAAAAATGTTGGAGCAGCTGAAGGAGATACAGAGTTGCTACAAGGCTTGTGAGGACGAGCGCAGACAAACTGAGCTCCAGTCTGCTGAGTTAGCTCAACAGATTGAAGAGAGTACCAAGGAAGCAGAACGGTACCTCGCTGAATTCAAGCACTCAGAAGCACTCAGGCTGGAGATAGAGAAAAAAAGAGAAGATTTGAAGGTGAGAGCACAGGAAACCATCCGTCAATGGAAGGTGAAATGTAAGAAACTGGATCGTGAGGTGGAAAAACAAAATGAAACTATCAACCAACTGATGGACAAGAACAGTCAGGTAAGATTGACTGTCTGGGGATTTTTTGGTACCCTTTCCATTTATTTTAGAAATTAAGGAGCTCATTTTTGCAAACTCTGTCTTAAACCACTTTGCGCCTTTAGTTTTGGACCAAGTTTTCTGGTGAACTAAAAAACAGATAATAGGTGGCAGTAGTTTTTAGCTGTTACAGGGTTCTACATTCTTTTGGTTATCCAGTATCTTCACTTAATCAAAGCTTTCTTCTTGCAAAGAAGAAAGTTACTCTATGAATTACTTTTATCTATTCATGTAACAGTTATCATAACATAGCTTATTTTTTACTTATTTTTTAAGGAAATAATGTGATATTTTGTAACATCACATTCAGTAATAACCTGTGTTTAAGTTATACATTGCATCTTATGTGGCAGTGGTCACATCTTTGAAAGTAGGTGTTTACTTTCACCATATAATTCAGATTCCTAGCAGACCATAATGCTGTATGAGCTTAGTTACAACTAGTGTATTTATAATTCCATTCTGTATTTGAGCTTTTCTCAGACTCTAGTCTTAGTAAAGACTACAGGTTCTGAAATATCATAAGGACTGCTGCTCAGTTTGGATTTGATGTTTGGATGCAGAAAAAATAGAGAATTTCTGTTTGAGAATGTGCAAAGATTTTAACAAAAAAGGCACTTGTACCTGCACTTGGCATGAACACCCTGCCAACACTTACCATACAGTCCTAGCTTTTTTCATTCAGCTGGATAAAAAGTCTGTGTTTGCTATATTTTTGTAACTTTTAAAAAATGCTTTTAACATATGTTGTTATATTTTTCAGAATTTTTTATTTTAAAAGAGCAGTTTGTAATTTGGTCACACAACATTTCTGGGTTTTTAATTTGTCTGTTTTCAGTGTGCAAATCACCTAATCCTCTCTTCCTCCTCCTATAAAGTGTCTCAGGAAAAACCATTGGGTTTTTGGTTTTCTGGTTGGCTGTTGGTTTGTGGGGTTTTTTTGTTTTGTTTTCAACTTAGCAGTATTCATTGACTTTTTCTAGTCCTGACACTGCTTTAAATGCAAACACGTCAATGGTAATGCTGATTATTCCAATTTGGAGTAGTAATAGAAACTATCACTCTGCTTGTAACGAGTCTATGGCTTTTTGTATTTTCCAGGTGCTGTGTTGATGGGTGCCTGCACCTATAGTGTCTGGTATATTGCTAAGCTTTGTGCTGTGAGCTTGTATCTTCATTTACATGTTCTGCTGGTGCAGTCTATCATATTGTATGGATGACTTGTTTTCACAGAGCTTCCCTCACCTATTTTAACTTATTTTCTAATGATGTGCACCCAATTTGTGTTACAAAATCTGATGGGCTTGAGATGGCTCCATGCCATCCTCCTCAAAGATTGTAGTTTTCAAGGGCTATGTGGCGTGAAGTATGGGAAGTCTTTATTCATCCTGTCTTGTTCCTGATCCAGTAACCTATTCTGAGACTGGTACCTGAATGTAGGAGCATGGTCAAAGCACACAATGGGACTGAGTTGAAATTAATATGTCTAAGCTGTGAATCCTGGGGTTGCTGGTTTTCTTCTGATCTACCTAGCATGTTCCTTGTTTTTTTGTTTCCTTCATCCATGCTCCAACAATCATCTTGTATTGGTTAGAAATAGCAGTTGTTTGAGGAAATAAGGTCTGCAGACAGGAAGTTCATCATCTCTTGCTTATAGAAAGAGAGGCATTAAGGAAAGGAAGAAAATCTGAATAGTTTAGAGTCATATCTCTCTCCCATAAAAGACAAATGAGAAGCACAAAGTAGAGGAGAGAGTTCTGAATAACAAGCAGATGGAGCCCCAGAAGGCTCTGAAATCATTGCTCATGTAAATGTGTGGACAGGTCTTTGTGATGGCAATTGATAGTGCTGTCCACGTGGAAGTTTTCTTTTTATGTAAGTCTCCTTGGCATGGATTTTACTTATCTTTATTTCTCTCGTATTGTTATGGCAAATGCATAAAAATGCTAAATGCAATTACCTTGGTGTAAGCTTCATTTAAGAGAATTGTCAGTATTTGTTCTTACTTTTAAGATCATCAGCATCTTGCCAGAAAGTTTGAGGTTAAGTGTCACTCCTGAAGAAGATCTCTTTACTGGAGGTTATGAAATATAAAATAAACTATGCATCACTGTGGAGAAGAAAAAAATAAAAACATTTCATGTTCTCAATACTAAGTTGTAGTGTCCTTGTGAGAATATGATCAATCTAGATGTAGCATTTGTGATAAGCTTTAGGGAACTAGATGAACATAACGAGCTGTGAAATACCCAGACAATTAACATCTGTGACAAAAACTCCATAAAAATAAATGATAACATTTGGAAATGGCAATCTGTTGTATTTTCTTTCTGTCATAGGATGTTAAATGGTTGATGGCAAATTTTCAAAATTAGTTCAGAATTATGATAATAGTTTGCAATTTTATGAGATGTTCCATATATTTGCAGACAATGGTTGGGCTATACAAAGATTGCTTAGATTTCATTCTTTTGCATTCACTGGGAATCATTCCTTTTTTCTGTAGTAGAATTTCTGTGTAACTTATGATAGATGTACTGTAAATTCCTTATTTTAAATGCAATGTTAAAAAAAATTATAACAATATGTAAGAATCAGGAGTGCTGTAACATGAATTAAATGAAATGTAACATTCAGTAACACACATGTACTTGCAGTGGAAATTTTTCCCATCAGTGCATTTTCTAGAAATTTTTTTTTAACCTGAAGTGTATCAGTGTTGAAAAAAAAACCAACCCAGCCCTTAAGGTCCTTAGGAAAACTGGAATTTTTATTGAATGTGGATGATTTTTATTTTGAAAATGAAGTCTTCATTTCTTGGCTTTGATGCAGGATTGAAACAGCCTTTTAACTGCGATAAATTTATCTACAATGGGTAGTTTAAAAAATAACTTAAAGTTGCTATACTTCATATGTAATATTTTAGAAAATAAGCAAAACAAGTCAGTCTGTGAAGTGGATTGCAAGTTGTGTCTGGCAAATAGTCCTGCCTGTATTCAGCTGTGTTTTCTCCATCTTCCTGTCTGGAGGAGCCAGCAAAGTTTGCAAAGAGGATGTGAAAATAGGAGATTAACCAAAACTATCCTGGATTAAAAGGCAAAATCATTTAAAGACAGGTGTACATTTGAGATCATGCAAGTTTGGTGTCTAAATTTCAAGAAACCCTGAATACATTTGAACTGAGTTCATAACAAGCAAAATTTTTGTGTTTTTGCAGAAGTGTGTTAGTAGTTCATTAGACATTAGGATGGCTAAGGACATCCTTCCAACATTTTTCTTTAATTACTTTAGGCCCCACTGGATTTCTTTTTCTTCTTTCCTAGGCCCTCAAAGAAAAGGATGATATAAAAAGTCAACTTCTCTCTGCTATACACCAAATAGAAAACCTTCGGAAAGAGCTGAATGATGTGCTTACAAAGAGAGCCCAGCAGGAAGAACTCCTCCACTGCAAAGAGGCAAAACTGAATGAAATGAAGTCTCACCAGGTAGCTCTTGAAGAAGAGGTGAAAGAAGTTCAAAGTACTGTAAATAAATTGGAGAATGAGTTGAAAAAGCAAGTTTTTTTACAAAATCAAATGCAAGCTGAAAAGGAACTCTTAGAGACAGAACTTGCAAATAGTAACTTGATCCATAAAAAAGACCAAGAAAGACTCTTAGAAATGCAAGCAGATGTAAAAAACTTAAGCTCTGTTCGTGTGGAACTAACAAACAGAATAGCAGAAGAGGAGAAAGTCAAAAAGGAATTACATAAAAGCCTTTCAGATCTCCAGAAAC